ATGGTGGTTTATTAACTGTTTAATATCTGTGAAAGTGCACAAATGTGGGAAAATGAAACAAAGCTGCTGGACGTAACTTCTCGGGTTCCTCCAAAAAGTCCACTGAAAAAATCTCAGTAAATGACCACCATTTTACTGCGATTATATTTCATCCCATATCATTTCATTTCATTAAATTTCATCCCAGTTGATTAATGTCACAAATTAATCATCTTCATTTCATTTCACTCCATATTATCATTTTTCATAAAATTAAGAATACAAAGTAAAATAAGACATGACTTAAAGGTCTTAGTTACCAGGTCATAAAATCTCTTAAAAAAAAATATAAGTCTTGTCATATCTATTTTTATTTCTAAAATTCTGAACAGTCTGTGTGGATTGCAGAGTGAATTGACGTTTGTTGCAGCTGATCACTAATTAGTAAATATTCCATTTATCTGGGCGAATTGTTAAAGAATGAATAAAATTCTTAATTGTTTCATATTGTTCTTGTGAATTTACAAATGCTTAGTTACTAGAATGATTATTGTTATGCGTTGCCACTAATGCTACTACTTCAAACCTTGAATAACATATTCCTTTTTCTAAATGGACTAGGCTAGGATTACTAAATTTACAATGGACGCGACAGGGTCTATAAACAGCGATATTTGTGTTGAAAATGACGAGGACCTTATCGAGGACTCCGAAGAGAAAGAATTAGTGACCGACTCCTGTTCGACCAAAGTCCTTAACATAGAACAACCTGTTGATAAATATTGTATTGTCTACATATTGTTTTACCTTTTCGGAGTCTCATCATTAGTGCCATGGAATTTTCTAATTACCGCCAATGATGTAAGTAAAACTTGTTATTTTGATGTTGATAAATAATTGTGAATTTGTATGTCATTAAACACACAAAGGAAATTTTAAAATTTTCTATCGCATGCCTATGATTCACCAAATCTAGTAATTCAAACTCATAGACATTACACAGTGTATTCTGCTGCTCAACTAGAGAAATGACAGTAAAGTGGATTATAACAGTATGTTGGATAATTATCCTGCTGTAGCTTTTTCATCGAAATCAAAATGCCTATTTTTAAAGTTCTTAAACCCCCTTACATTTTTAAGAACTCTTTGTTGCATGATTTAAAGTACATAAATAATTTCCAGAAATGTAATTAAATGAGAAAATGTGAAAATCACAATCAACAAAGAAATCACTGATTTCAATTAACACAAAAGTAAAAACATTTTAAAATAATAAAAACTAAAATGAAAAAAATGTATTTAAAACTTGATATATGCTTCCCATCTCTTTATTAAAACAGTACACTGTACTTTGATTTTATTTCAATTAGAAAATATTGTTTTACTAGCTTTTGCCCGTGACTTCATCTGTGTGGAATAGTTACTTTGGGATAATGCTAAGTTTTACCCGCCTCTTGATTTACGTAGAAACTGAAAATATTTTTGAATAATAGATGAATAGGCGAAGAGAATGTTAAGGAGCTATTTAAGGTACCAAAATCACGCTTTTTAACTGACTTCAAAAGTGGATGCTATCAATTCGACCATAATTTTTTATTTATGTATGCACACCGATTTCTCATGAATGCTTTAACCTATTCTGATAATTATTTTTTCTTTTTTTTGTTCGAAAGGGTAGACTTCCCGAATGGTCCCGTAATCACTCATGATCTGATCATGGGATCCTGGAGAAATCCAGAAAAATCTATAATTGTCAAAGCCTATATTGAAGTGATTTGGGTGTTTCAATGTTGTAATGAATAACGTATTTATTTGGATAAGGATTAATATCATCTTTATAAAAACACCTTCAGAAATAATGCTTTATTGTAGCAAAAATTTGGTTAGCATAAGAAACGTTATAGTGAGCCAACCTTAATGTATAGATGTATACTGTTACGGACTTTTTTTTAGATCTTTTAAAGGGGAACAATTCTCTCATACATATCTTTAACGAAACTTTAACCGTTTCCGCATCGCACGCAAGGGAAGCTCTCAAAAGGGAAAAAACCCCGATTTTGAAATATTCTGTATTGGTGCTCCGCTTGTATTGGTCGTAGCGTGATGTTATATAACCTATAGCCTTCCGCCTTCAAATTGGACCAGTAGTTCCTGAGATTAGCGCGTTCAAACAAACAAACACTTCAGCTGTATAATGAAAAAGTTTCTTTGCATTTTTGAAGAAAATTCACATTTTTTAATATCGTTTATTTACATTTAACTAAAGTATGTAGGTACCATTTTGTTCGATAACTTTTTGACATCTTGTAGGTGATCCCATGATTGCTATAGAAATTTTGGGGCTTCTGATCAAAATACCGCGTTTCGGCAGTCCTCTTGTGATGTTAACCTGACACTGCCTAAAGAATTCTGAAGAGACCGAAACAGGTGGAAATCTGAAGGTGCAAAGTCAGGACTATACAGCGGATGCATTAACACCTTCCAGCCAAGCTCTCTTAATTTTTGCTGAGTGGCTAAAGATGTGTGAAGTCTAGCGTTATCTTGATGAAAATCACACCCCTTCTGTTGATTAATTCCGGCCGCTTTCTCTCAACTTCTTGCTTTAATCTCATCAGTTGCTCTCAGTAGAATTCAGAATCGACGGTACTGCCTGGTGGTAACAGCTTATAATGAATAATGTCCTTCCAATTTTACCACACACACAGCATCACCTTGTTGCGAGTTAATCCGGGTTTCGCCAGTCTGTGAAGCCTGACCGGCCTTTGATCACGACCTTTTTCGCACGTTCTTGTCGTACGTGATCCACTTTTCATCACCAGTTATCAGCTTCTTCAAAAAAATGGTTCGGTTTCATTACGTCGTAATAAAGAATCACAAATGAGTACACGGTTCATTAGGTTTCTTTCTGTGAGCTCGTGATGTACCCAAATATCGAGGTTTTTTGTGTACCCTGTTTATTTCAAATGCGCCAAAACTGTTTTGTGGTCAATTCCCAGTTCTTCAGCTACGCCGTAACTACTGATATGCCGATCTTGGTCCACTTTTTCAAAAATGGCATCTATTTTATCCGTAATAGGGCCAGAGCGACATGCATGTGTATAACATCAAAAGGAGAAACTCCATTTTGGGCCTAAGCGTTACACGAATGGGATATGTATCAAAAATTTCGTATATTTTGCTTTATTAACCTATTGAAATCTTAGCTTCATTGACAATGGCCAAGTGTAGAAAATAAGTAGGATTCCATTTTTTGTTTTAAACAATCTTTATAAACCTCTGCAACACTTATTTTAATATACGTAACTAGCTCCAAAAACGTGCGGATTAGAATTAAAGCATCCCTAAAATAGGATCGATTTAGTGGAAATCGAGTGTTAAAAATAATTAATACTTCTTTGTTTTAGGATAAATTACTGTTTTTATGGCTATTTTAATCAATGTAAATAGAGTATGGCCATCGAATCGTGACACAACTACTTACAGTGGCGGCAATTCAAAATAACTACAACTGACAACATTAAATATAGCATGAAATAGTAGTTTTGCATTTTTATATTAATGTGACTATGCCATAAAAAAACACAAATCTATCAAATCGTGTTATGCTATCTTTAATGCCAACTGAAGATATTTTGGATTGCCGCTATTTAGTTGTGCCATGATTCGCTGGCCAGACGATAACCTTAATCTCATGGAATAACGTAACGTAAAGCACCCAAATCTACTAACAAAAATCATTAAGAGAAATAACTGTGTGATTTAGTTATGACACGAAATCATGTCGGCAACTGCGGCAATTCAAAATATTTTCAACTGGCAATCTTAAATATAACATGAAAAACCCGATTTGGTACTTTTGAGTTTTTCTATGGTGTAGTTACATTAATAATTTTACTGGTGGTTGGACCTCTTGTGAGTCCGCGCGGGTAGGTACCACCACCCCGCCTATTTCTGCCGTGAAGCAGTAATGCGTTTCGGTTTGAAGGGCGGGGCAGCCGTTGTAACTATACTGAAACCTTAGAACTTATATCTCAAGGTGGGTGGATGTCTATGGGCTCCAGTAACCACTTAACACCAGGTGGGCTGTGAGCTCGTCCACCCATCTAAGCAATAAAAATAAACTAAAAAATGGCATGACATAAAATTAAATGAAATGAGATGAGATGATATGGGAGCACGTAATGATTTATATTTTATATAAAAAAGTTACCATATAAATATCGTTTTTCATATAAAAAAGTTTTCATTAAAATTAAAATAAGACTGACCTTATGTCTATAAAGGTCTTAGTTACCAGGTCATAAAATGCCTTAAAAAGTCATTTCGTGCGCAGCGCGTTTTGCATTACGTTGTTTTTAATTTTTGGCTTTCGTTCATTTTCGTAAACAACTTAATGCGCGATTTCTCGTAACAGGTTATATTTTTATTTTCAAAGCAACCTGTTGCTGCAACAGGTTTCGTAAAAAATTACTCATCTTTAGTAGGAAACAGCCTCAAAAATATCGCTTTTTATTAAAATACCTCTTTTTTATTTTTAAGGGATTTTAATGACCTGGTAACTGAGACCTTTAAGTCATGTCTTATTTTAATTTATATTCATATTTTTATGAAAAATGATATTATGGAGTGAAATGAAATGAAAATGATTAATTTGAGACATTAATCAACTGGGATGAAATTAAATGAAATGAAATGGGATGAAATATAATCTCAGTAAAATGGTGGTCATTTACTAAGATTTTTTCAAAGGACTTTTTGGAGGATCCCGAGAAGTTACGTCCAGTGGCTTTGTTTCATTTTCCCACATTCGTGCACTTTCACAGATATTAAACAGTCAATAAACCACCATTATTACACATTTAAACCCGAAGAAACACTAAATAGACAAAATAAAACAAATCACACAACTACACTCCTCGCGTTCCCGCCAAAAAGTCCTTGAAATACCTCGAACAATCAACATAACCTAAAATGTAAACATTGTCTGATTTTACCAATTTGGCCATTGCTGGGAGACCTGAAAATTGGGCTCATGAAACTTTCTTAGGTATTGTAATTTATGCTCAAATTCTAGCACTGTAACGCCAGGCCCAAGTTTGTATGGATTTCGGGTTTCTCCTTTCTGGATTGAATAGGCTTAAACCAAATTTGTGCTACTCTCACAGACATTGCACTAGGTCCATAAACATCACAAGTGTTTGTCGCGGCTGGCGTTGCATTTTTAACTTTTTTGTAGTAAAATTTTAAAAAGTATCAAATTGCACTCATCTTGCCAGTATGAAAAATAAATAAAAATCACACATTTTCCTAGTTTGAATTTGGAATTATCTTCTTTAAAATTTAAACTTTTAAACAGATTTTATTACAAGTTCATACATACAATAATGCGAAAAGACTTTTTCCCCAACCTATTATTAAGTATAGACTAAACACAAAGCAAAGCACAATGGAAACATTAAAATATAAATGATGGTTTTCATAATATATTTCTTCCAAATTATCTATTGTACCACAAGTGTTAAAAAAATTACATTCGCACTGAATACATTTTACGCATCCTTCTTATAAAATCTATTTTGTTTGGAGAATTTAAATCTAAGGCTAATGTTGATTATATTAAATAATAATATTGATTATAATCATTCAACTAGATTGCTTCAAAATAGCTTAAAATTGATTACTTGAACATGCTATTCATTTATTTAATTTTGGCATATAATAGATATAAATTTTTGCATCAAAATTAATTTGTACAGAAATAAAATCGCACAAAACACATGAAACAGGTTTTACTTTACTAAATTTGTTTTTATGGCATAAGCGTCGTGGCCTTTTGAAGTCGTCGTCGCCTAAAGCATAAG